ATCTTTTTAGAACGTTGCAGGTTAATAGTATATGTGAGTGGTGAAAATACATAAAATCGTGTCAATACTATCCCCAACTTCCATATTTTCCTAAAGTAATTTTTCGGACTCTGATACCTGCAAGTTGCAAGAACCCTTCCTTTCTTTTTTATATTTAAAATATTAAATAGAAACACTTATATCTACTTGAAAGCGAAAAACATACTAATTTTCAGTTAAAAATCACACGACAAAATATTGTTATTCTTTTTTTTTATTATTTGGCGTTTCTTGGTTCTTGAAGTCTCTACTTCCGGTTGGTATACAAAATAGATGCACAACTGCGGCAAAATTTTTCAAAAACTGGGCACACTAAATAGCTGATACTTTGAAAAAAATAGATATATGAAATAAAAAAACAATTAAAGAAATTCCTTAGAAGCACTTTATTACAGTGGCTCAGTTTTTGCTATAGTCATCCTAACTGAACAATTTCTTGTGAGATTACATTATTGTATTATTCAATAAATCTTTAAAACTTCGTGAAAATATCTCGTCTACTGAGAAAAAAATTTCCATACCAGCACTTGCCCCCGACCGTTCAGTTTGTATTATATAACAGCGACAGGCTGATGAATGAAAACACCCCAAAATTTCAGTTCGATATCTTAAAAACTGAAGGACTAATTCACGTATATGCACACAGGCATAGAGATGGGCATTTCGATATATGTTCAATAGGGTCCTCGACGTATCCTTCTGGTTGCTACACACATCGTGACACTCTGTTCGGGGTAGAAAAGTGGAAAAGCAGCTTTGAATCGTTGCTTTCCAGGGAAAAAGTCTACTCTCTTGTAAGAGTACAAATCGACAACTTTATTGTTGTTTCTACATGTATTCCTTTTCACTAGAGAGCAGGAGCCAGCAGAGAGCTTTCATATTGAATTTAACATAAAGAAAACCGACCAAGTATCATTATTATTATTTATATCTTGAACAGGGTATATTAAGTTTGAATATTTGGGCACTTTCTTTTTCTCCAAGGAAGAACTCATTTAACGGAATAATATCGGCCGATATTAGAACATTATAAGATATAGTTGCTATACAAACTGATCGACATTCTAATCTTTATTATAGTCATATAGCTGACTAAACATACCAATAATAAAATGAATAGGTCCTTAAATACGTCTTATAACATTAGTTGGTTTCACAATTTATCATATTATTCTTGTTAAAATTATGAAACACAAATTTTATTTAAGCCAAATGAGCCATATTTTAAACTCAACAAATAACCAAAACTTCTAATTACCTTTTTAAGGAGATATTACCAAATAGACGTCTAAGTAAACCAAATAAGACGTGATCTGATTCCCTTAAATTAATACAAAATCTCGTTTCAAATAACTTTAGTGCGCCCTTTTGCGGTTTTAGCAACGCGCTTACTGCCACTATTTGCTTCCTGAAGCCTGTGAGGAACTATAGCCATGCTTCAATTTACCTGAATCGAATAAAGTAAGCAAACGCAAGACACGAAAATTTGTGCATATTCATGTCTCTACGGATTATAACATAAGTAGGAACATACACAGAAGTATTATATACTACATATATATTTGAATTCGCCTTTATTCAGCGCTTTTGTTCAAACAATTATACTTTTTTGGCTCTGATCAAGCAATGGAAGCGCTCGCACACGAAAGCTTATGAAAGTGAGTAAAGATATATCAAAACACGCTACAATCCTCCTATTAATAAACACACATATGTATGTATAGTATATGTATGCACAAGTGTGTATATCTGGACCCTACTTTGGACATATATGCTTGTACATACTAACATGCATATGTACATGCTTGAATCTAGATATAATATATGTATGTATGTGCTGTTCTTTGGTTGGCATCAGCTTTTGACGGTAGTTGTTGTATCATTGTACTGTTGTTGTTGGTGACAATGGCGGTCGAGGCGTAGCGAAGTGGTTGAGGCACTCAGAGGAAATAATTACATGATTGAGGTACGAATAGCAACCACTTTTTACAAGTGCTCTGCTTTTTGTTGCTTTTTCAGCCAGTTCAGTTCAGTTCTTCGCTGGTCATGTCATTATTGTTGTTACATATACCAAACCACATACATACATACATGTGCACGTCAATGGTGGACAAGCAGGCAATTCGAAAGCGCACATCCGCCGTAACCGTGTTGGCTGCACCGTTGAAGATGACGAAATTGTCGGCCATAAGTACATAGTATGTATGTATATACTTATGTATGCATGAGAGCGTTATGATCCGCGTCTTGTATACCGTGTGTCAGCGGTTGTTATATGTATGCTTGTGTGTGCTATCTACCGCCGGACACTTCGATTGCATGACAGAGCGCGCTTTTTAAGAATTCATGATAAAAACACAATCGGACCACAACAAAGGCACCACATAAAAAACCTATGCGCTTACATACATACATATGTACATATGTACAAAACTTCACAACAACAAAAACAGCATGCGGTAGCAATTGTTGTCGGGCCGAGAACGACATTGACGTGTTTAGCTTTTCGTTTGTTGTTGGCGTTTTGTTTACGTCGCTTTTTTTTCGTATGACCGTCGTGTAGCTTAGCGCTGACGCCGACTATGGCGCTGGTGATGGCGATGGCGACGTTGATGGCAATGGCTACGGGCAATTATTGTATCATTTGTTGTAGGGCACAACTTCTGAGTGAGCGACTTGGCACGGCATGTTGTGTTCGTAGATTCGCACCGATATTACCAGAGCTCGTATGTGAAGTTTTGTTGTTGCTAACGATTTTATTCTTAATCTTGCCTCGAATACAATGTTGTCATGTTTTTATTGTTTGATAATTTTTTTAGATGTTATAGCATGTTTCATATACATACATACATATGTGTGTACATATATATATGTGCATGAGTGTGTATGTGCAGGTACGTAGTAGCAAGGTGTGTTCGTAAATGCATTATTGCCATGAATTGCAATTTTTTTTTTATAAGTTTTGTACAAAACAAGTAAATGCAACTAAGATAATTGTTTACGCGCCTGCTCTTTACTTTTCGCCATTGATTAAACATCAGCGGGGTTTTCGTAAACTCGTTGATTTTCAACTCTTTCTATTCATTTCCATATTCTGATTGATTTTGCTAAACATTTTGGCAAAAAAGGTTTCAAAAATATGCATTTTGCTATGTTGATGATGTATGATCTGTCAACCAGTTTGTTTACAGCAGCACCTTAAGTCAGTACACCTCAGTTGTGCGTTGTGATTTTTATATTGGATTAAAATATCGAACAAAAAGTTTTTCTCAAAATTTGTATATCTTGCGAAATTTCGTTTGCGAAATCGTTGTGAATGTTGGAAAAGGCTTACGGTGATTAATTTTTATCAAAAACAAAAGTCCTATGAGTATTTCAAAGACCTCAAAGACCTTCAACCTCTTCAACTGACGAAAATATTTTAAAAAAAAAGCGAAGGATATAATGCTTGAAAATCGTTAGGCAAATGTTAGAGAGCTTCACATCTCTCGCGAGTCCGTTTGAATGATTTTGGTGGATATTATGGGTATGAAACGCATTCTTGATTGATTCGTTTCAATAAAACACATTTTTTTTTCGTCAAAAAAAGTACGATTGTGACCGAATTTTAAGCCAAAAACGCATGGAATATCATCGATTAAACATTGTACTCAACAGACTTGGCTCCGTGTGATTTGTTTCTTATTCCCCAAACTGAAATGGCGACTCCGTGTAACAAATTTTCAGTAAATCGAAGAGATAAAACAATTCGCTGAAAGAGCTAAAGGCCATTTCAAAAAGTGCTTATGAAAAGTTCGAGAACTGGCCAACTCGTTGGCTGAAAAGTTTACATGGGTTTTCCAAAAATCAATTTTTTTATTGTCATATTAAATTCTACAACACCTCAACCACCTTTTCAAGTTGATCCCAGTAAAAGTCTTTAAACGCGTTTTTCTCGAAACTGTGTTTTTAATGTCGATTGGCAATATTTCCCGAGAACTAAAATTTTACACAGATCTTCGATTTAACTAGAATACGCATCTTCTCACTTTAGATGGTCCTGTAAGGAGTTATCCTGGCAACGCTGTCTCAACTTTTGCATATTTTTTTTCCAAATTTCTGATTTAATAGTGTACGTTTGTGACAATAAAATATTATAATAAAATACTTAATTTTTTTATATGAGAAAAAAATTGTTGAAAAAGCTGTTTTTTACCCGAGGAAACCCATGTAACCCTTTAATGATTATTGCATCGAAAATACTCTTACTCTTACTCTTTCACTTTCCATTATAATTTAATGCTAATTATTTTTATCGCAACTGACCAAACATACCGCACTCTATCGGCGGCTATTCAAATCGGAAGCGCAGCAAGCATCGCACAGTAAGAAATAAATTAGGCGACTCTTTCTCACTCTCTTGAAAACTAGTGTGGAAGCTTCGAAGACTGTTTAAGAAAAATGTCTATATTCATACTCTCGCTAAATGATATTTTTTCGGAAATAAAAAGGCTAAGCATTTTTATTTATTGTTAGGACCAGACCACGAAGCTTTCTTGAACGGCCTTAGATTTATATTTTCCTTTGCGCCGACCAAAAAGTAAATAAATAAAAAGCAGTAAATATGAAAAGCAAGACGAAAATTAAAAATTGATTATATCAAGCGTAGTTAAGTCACTTTTTCCCTACACTCTCCAGTTATATAAGCTGAAAATTTGTGAAAGGTTTGGGCCAGTGCTCGAACTTAAATGGGTGTTATAACCGCCCCTGAGCTCGTAGTGTAAAGTGTTTTATTGTTTCTTGCATTCCACAAAAAAATTTGCTTGATACCATAATTGAGTTAGTAAAAACTGCAAGAGACAGGCCAATTCGCCCAAAACGAATGCAAATTATTTATTATTTTACTCTACAGACATACTTAGTTAAATGCATATTTGTTGTTGCCAATTGGTTGCTTATATTAAATAATCAAGTGTACTTACTTATAGCATTATCGGCTGCAAAAGAGAAGAAAAAGTTTATATTAAAATATATATTTCTACTTGAATACTAATCTTTATATATATTTTTTTAATATTTTGAAATTTATGCTAAGCAAGAAATACATTTTTTTTATTCTTAAAAAAATTCCGCAGCTTTAAAATAATGCCAACTAGTTACTTTTAGGTTAGCTCACTCGCAGCTATTAATAACCAAGCGCACTAAAATTATTATCAACAGCTGCACCCACGCCTTCAGTGTCTACGACTTTCTTATCTGCAACATTTCGAAGTGCTGCTCAAATCAATAAATTTTGTGTTTTATAGAGTCTCACACCTCTCAGCAATCAGTGCGCAGCGCTATCGAATTGCCATTGCCAAAGCACAAGTAGATGCACCCATAAAATTTACAATTTTTTAAGACACCTCTGTAGAAAGTTTATGCACCGAAAGGTGTAAGTGCGATTTTTTAACTTTAACTTGATCTGTTAGCAGGAATGCTACGAAGGTACTGGTTACTTAACAGATTTAATGCAGTCGTTGTGAGAATTTAATGATTATTGGTTATTTTTGTTTACAGATGATGATAAGCAAAGTGAGATGAAACATAAAAATTTAAACGTATAAGTGCCAAGTTAAAGAAGAAAATTTTTAGAGAAATTTTGTTGATAATTTCCCTTTCATGAAATATAATATGTAATTGAAATGTCCAGCTTCTGCAAGAACTGAAGCCGCTCGACGCTCCCAATCGACATTGCTTCGGTCTTAGAGCTCTCGAAAACTTCCAAGAATATCCGACAAAGAGCAAAAGATGCAAGAGCTGCCATTTTATTCAGAAAAAACTACAGTTTTGGTGTAATCTGTGGGCCGGTGGAATCGTCGGTTCATATTTCTTCAAAGATGATGCCGGTATTTGAAGCTCGTGATCTCGGTGACATTTGGTTTCAACAAGACTTCACACACATCGCATCAATTAATTTATTGCGAGAACACTTCGGTGAGCGTTTTGGAATAGTCGCTTAGTCACCAAGATCGTGTGATATTCAATCGTGCAAATGTTTCTAGTAAAGTCTATGCGGAAATCCGTTTTTAACCTTTAATAATTAAAGCACGCTCCCCCGCCCCTTTCTCGACCAGAGATCGCCCGTAATTTATTTTTTCCTTAATACTAGACATTATATCTTGCGTTTGGGAGGGATAGCATCTTACTGTGTTTTTTTTTTTTGTTTTAATTATCTTCCCTGCTCTATGATGATTCAAAATATTAATTAATGGATTTACTAATACAAATGGACTTACCTATCGACTCGAGCTTACAACTTTTTTTCGCTAAATAATATATGTTCTTATACTATATATAGTAAGTATAAGAGCATACATGGATAGCTTTACTCTTATATACATATATCTCTATGTACTATATGTAAATCACGCAGGTGTCGGCGCTTTGCACTTTTTTCTAAGGAAACTTGCTCAGCTATTCTGCATATTCCACTTGGCGAACGCACATAAATAAGTACATGTTGCAACCGCAAGCACCGTTAATATTCTTGTGTTAGATAAACATACAGAAGCAGAGAATGGCAGTGTGAAGAAAAACGAATTTCCGTTTTTCCTGTCGTTTCAGCAAAGGTTTCCTTGGCGGAAGCGTTGCTGTTTGAGGGTGAAACATAAATTCCGTTGACGCAAGGTAAACGAGTAGTCGTGGAAAGTCTTTAAACAGCAAGCAGCAGAGCTGTCACGGACGTAGTAAGAAATTTTTTGGAAAGGGGCCATAGAAACTTTTTTTTATTTCTAGCTGAGTTTTGAATTGCTTCTTGGAGGAATGTGGGATATAAATATATAACTAAAGTAGTTGATTGCTTATATTTAGGATTTTGGATATATAAACATTTTTGATCTTTCAAGAGAAGGGGGAGATATTATATATTTAGTTTTTTTCGATTTATAAATTTCTTAAATTAATTTCAAGTTCCTTAATTCTTGTTGTTCCAGCCATATTAAACCCATATCTTATATTTACTTTAAAATCGACCGTAATATTTGAAAATATGTCCCGGAAATTGAGAAAACGGTCACTTTGTGAAATATACTGTTGCGTATTCAAAATTAAATTAATGTTAGGTCATATTCATAAAATCTGTCTCATTGCAATTTAGTAGACGTTTGAGTCTCTACATCAAATTTAAAATACTTTAAAGAGCAAATTATCACGAGCTACCCACATTGTCCTTGTACTTAACTCTTTCTTAACCTAAGTTTTAGGAATACCCTCCACACATATGTAGCATGTATAACTAAGTTTATCGAGTAAAGTTTATTGAAGAAGCGCACAAATTGTTCACTGAAAGTTTTACGATCTCCGGCCTTTGAGTGGAAAATCATTAACCCACAACACGGATACAATTTTCCGCCTCAAATATGTGCAACTCTTTGTACATACAAGTATGCCCACACAACGGAGTGAATCGAAGACTTCGGCAAGTACACTGGTCAGTAATTTCTTTACTCAAAAATATATACGTGAAGTTTATGAAAATTTTGCTACAACTAACAAAAACTGGCCTTTTTGGCTAGAATATGATGTAGAAAGTACCGAAAAGTTTTTGGTTAGTAGCTCATTCACAAACCTCTTAGTTTTTTGTAATTTAAAGCAACCTCAACTAAATATGAAGAAGTGTGTGCTTAAGAAGCAACGGAATTTTTGGTCACGTGGTATGAGTGCCGATGACGGTGTCGTTGTGTGGCCGACATGACGCTGTCTGTCAGTCTGGCAACCACAACATTATTTGCACAAAAACGGAAATCAAATTTACTGTCGGAGGCGCTGAAGTGAAATATCATGAGTAATCATCCATAGTGTAAAAACGAGAGCAAGACCACCATGCCTTCTACACAGAGAGAGCGTGAGTTAAAATCATGCTAATGGAAATAATAGTGTCTGCTGGCAAAATTATAAACGCAGCAATAATAATGAAGGGTAATCTGTGGACGGGATTGATATTTGAATTTGGCCAAGGAAGTGAAATAAATTCGTCGAATGATTAGCAACTATTTCAGCTTATTTATTAACCAACAAAATGGAGTGAGAATAAAACAGTGACTGGACAGTTATGGGTAAAATTTGGTTAAAGTATGGTTAAAGTTTAGGTTAAAGTTTTAGTTAAAGTATGGTTAAAGTTTCCGTTAAAGTTTAGGTTAAAGTTTTTGTTAAAGTTTTGGTTAAAGTTTTGGTTAAGGTTTTGTTTTTGGTTTTAAAAACAAGAAGCAGAAACTTAACGAAAAAAATTAAGAATTTAATTCAAGTAAGCGCTCTTAACTTAATTAATTCGCAGAAAGAGCAATATTTAAAAGCAATATAAGTGTATGTAAGTGTGCATGTGTAGGTGACGGCATTTTTTGCTTTTTTTTTTTTTTTTGCTTTTCTCATTTAACGCTCCTTACACACAATGCTTCTTCGTTTGTTATCGAATGTGCCGTTGACTGGCAGTGGGTGTGTCCATGCCTTTCATTCATTCTGACAGTTCCTCCACCCACTCGCCGAAATGGCGTGCGTTCTGCTAAACAAAATGAAATGGCACATTCGCTCGGTGGGTGTTGTTGTGCCCGCCAAGTGCCTTAAAGCATTTAAAGGTAAAAACTGATACCCGCATGCAATATGTACGTGGAAATGTTTGTCTGTATGCTAAGAATATATTTTGTGCTAGAAACGTGTATATAGGCGCAGTATGTATGTATGTCTTTGCGTTAAACCAGCACTTGTAGGACAATTGCACGAGGCACTCCGCCTTGTTTTCCGGGGTCGTGGGTTCAAGTTATCGACGTATACGGCGAGTTAAATGCGAATTGGTCACAGAGTGCTGGATGTTTTGTGGCGCCAAGTGTGCCATGTTAAACAACATACACTTACAAATATTTTTTCAGACGTCACGTGGGTTACGGAGCCAAATGTGGGTACACAAAAATGTAAAAAAGCGAGAAAAAATGTTAACTTCGGCTAAACCCTGCACAGGTTCATAATAATCTGCAATTAAAAAATTTTTTCTTACAAGGAATTCATCCTGATCGCTTGATTTATCTAGAACCTGTTGTTGTTGTTGTTGTTATACGTGCATAAAATATTCCTGAAGTAATTTCGAGAAATGATGCCGAGTGGACAGTCTTTGGACAAATAAAAATCCGTGTCCGTTCTGGTTACTTAGACCCAACTGTCGTGGGAACAGATGGTAGTTTTCTTTGTATAACACTAAAAATTTAACCCTTTCAAACAGTCAAGTACTTTTATGGTATATTACCAGTTATTAAAACGCCAATACTTCATATGCTTATGTAAAATATTTGTCATGAATAAATACATATAATTATACGCGATGATTGAATGACCTTGCAACTGTCAAGTCCCTAGATGATGAGATGTTAGAAACACTTGTCATTTTTAAACACGTTTTGGAGTTTTGAATGGCACTTTTGACTAATATAGTTATTATGTCCGTCCATTACAAACAATTACTATGTAATAACGTTAATGATCATGGCTATAAATATAATAACAATAATAATGGCAAACACGGCGGAAAAATGTTTTCTTTTTGTGCAATTAGATTATGAAAAATACGCAATAAATACTATAATTAAGGAATTTCCATAATATGTGGACAGAATGTCAATTCATCGCAAACGTAGCGCTGCGCTACGGTGCGGAAACGCAAAGTGTGAAAAGAGTTGCACTTAACTCGCATGAATGCAGCTATTAACACACCCAACGGCTGACAACTAGACGAGCAAGGGAGGCGAAATCGCATGCACGGGGAGGAAGTAGAAATTTTTAACCGCGCTGGTTTACAAATACACATTTTTAATAATGAAATATAAATACTGTTTATCCTATTACATGCGAATATGATCGATATGAAAGTGTCATTTATGAAGCGGAGTGCGGGCAGGGAGGTGGTAGGCTAAACTTCATGCATGAACGCAGATAGAAATTGTAATCGGGCTTTTAAAATGCATAAATGTAC